TGTGATGATGATGATGATGGATGATGATAGTATGATGAGATGATGATGCTGATGCTGATGCTGATGTTGCTGCTGATGGTGGATGCTGATGCTGATGATGATGCTGATGATGATGCTGCTGCTGGTGCTGATGCTGATGCTGATGCTGATGATGATGCTGATGATGATGATGCTGATGATGATGATGATTATGATGATGATGCTGATGATGCTGATCCTGATGCTGATGATGATGCTGCTGATGATGATGATGATGTTGATGCTGATGCTGATGTTGATGCTGATGCTGATGCTGCTGCTGATGATGATGATGCTGATGCTGATGCTGATGCTGATGCTGATGATGCTGATGCTGATGATGCTGATGATGCTGATGATGATGCTGATGATGATGATGGTGATGATGATGGTGATGATGATGATGAGTATGCTGATGATGATGATGATGATGATGATGATGCTGATGCTGATGTTGATGCTGATGCTGATGCTGCTGATGATGTTGATGCTGATGATGATGCTGATGCTGTTGCTGATGATGCTGATGATGCTGATGATGATGATGCTGATGATGCTGATGATGATGATGCTGATGCTGATGCTGATGATGCTGATGATGATGATGATGTTGATGATGACGATCATGATGCTGATGATGATGGTGATGATGATGATGATGATGATGATGATGATGATGATGACGATGATGCTAAGTTGGAGGGGGGAAGGAGGTGCAGGACGAGGAGGAGGAGGAGGAGGACGAGGATGAGGAGGAGGAGGAGGCACCACCATGGCATGTCAGGTGCGCCGAGACAGGAAAAGGGCAGGCGCAGAATATTAGGGCGAGACGAGCGAGCGCAGCACGAAGCCAAGAAGAGAGAGGCAAAACACGAAGCAAAAGCCAGGCGAATTACCGAAGACGAAGCCCAAAGCAAGCGTCATCAGAAGACTGGAGAGGGCGAGGCTCGCCCCTCCAGTCCCCCGAGATCGGGTCCTTACCGCCTCGAGGGCTCTAAGATATGTAGTGTCCTTGCTGGATGCAAGACCCGAGCAGACTCCCCAAAGACGGGACCGCGGGGCCGACGGCTGGGCCCTGGCCCCACAACGGCGGCAGAATGCAAGGGTAGACCCGGCAAGGACGATGGCATGACCTCTAGCGCTAGCTGGCCCGACAGGGCCGTGAGCGGGGAGGGGGAGGTCAGGAGGGACGGCATCCCGAGCGACCCAGGACTCCCCTTGCCGCTGGCCTTCAGAGGCCTTGTCCCTCTTGGGGGGGATCCCCCCTGGGACTCCCAGGCCTCTTGGAAGGCCTGGGCGGGGCGGCAGGGGCACCAACCCGCGGCGCCTTCAAGCGCGGGCCCCCTGAGGCCCCACTGCCGTCAACCCTACTCTCCCCCTCACTCCTGGCCCGAGTTTTGCTCGGAGGGGAGGGTGGACGTTTGGGCTCCACGGAGTCGTGCACCCGTGCGGCCTTTGCAGAGGGCCAGCGCACGTCCGCGAGGCCGAGCAGAAGGTGGCGGAGGAGGAGGAGGAGGAGGAGGAGGAGGAGGAGGAGGAGGTGGACGGAGGTGGAGGAGGAGGAGGAGGAGGAGGAGGAGGAGGAGGAGGAGGGGTGTGCAGGATTGAGGATCCGCACGAGCAGGAGGAGGGCAAGAAGCATGAGCCTACGCCAGCCAGCGGTAGCGTTGGAAGGAGGGCGCGGAGGACGACGAGGAGGGGGGAGCAGAAAAGGGAATCAACAGGGCTTGGATGACAAACGCATGGACCGCACTGGCGCCTCTGCGCGGCACCAGTGCCTGATGAACCGAAACGGCGTCGGTGAAATGTACGTGTTGACAACACAACAGCTCTCTGTTCTACCCACAAGCCCGCATGCGCGGACAGGAGTGAAACGGAGCTCAGGACACGCAATTGCGGCGAGAAAAGGGTTCGCGAGGGCGGAAGCGCTTCTCTCTCCGCGCGCGCGGGAGGGAGAGGGCCTCGCGTGTTGGGCCCCGCCCTCTCTGCGCGCGCGGGGAGGAGAGAGAGAGAGAGAGAGAGACTCGAGCAGTGCTGGGAGGGGGGCCGCCCTCCCTCAGCGCCGCGCGGGAAGGAGGAATGTTTTTTTAAGTGCCAGGGTTTGGGGGGGTGCTTTCGATGTTCGACGCCCCCCCCCCCCCTCGTGTGCCTGGGGAGGTTCTGGTTGACCCAAAAGGGGGGCCAGCAAAGTGGGGGGTGGTGCAACAGATCTGGCGCAATGGAGTTGTGTGATTGCACTCGCTTTGGGGTGTACTACGTTGTGGTGCGCAGAGGTATTGACACATTTTCGCGTGCAATGCTTTAGTAGCAATACAATCCAATACAGATCTCTGGCGCAGTACACTTGCAAATCAATTACCCAGACCTCAATTTTGGGTCAACGATCGAGGGGGAGCCATTTTCGCCCCCGCTCCCCCCGGAGTTGCTGAGCAGTGTTTCGCCGGGGTATCGCTCCCTCAAACCTTTTTCAGGGTCCCAAGAC